TGTCTTTGGTACACAATTTTTTGAAGGCAAAAGACCTTGGTCAATAGCCTTGCCAGTTTATTATTTTAATAAACTCTTCTCTCCACTAATTTGAAAATATAATAGCAATTGATATCTTTCACTAACTTCCAGTATCTCAGGATAAAGCTCTGTCATAAACGATACATGAACATAATAAAAACAGGTGTAGTGTTCACAAAGAGGAAAATTTACAGGAACAATAGACATGCTCATTTCAATGAAACTTGAGTTCAAGTTGAAAAATAAATTTAAATACATTTTGTTGATCGTTACCAAAATAGCGTTAAACTTTACACAGTATAAAGCTTGGCTAAATAAGAACTAATCTATCGTCTAACATTGAATTTTTTTCTTCTCTGCTTTATAGAACACTTTTAAGAAGCTAAAGGCTATTGTGAAGTAAACTAAATTCATCTCTAAAGTTTTATATCACTTGGTACCGGAAAATATCTGAATAGTTTTCAGTTTTGCAGTAGCGTATGGAAATATGTTGGTATACAAAACTCCTACAAAGTGCTCAGTAAATACCAGTAGTAAAGCAACTGCAATTTCAAGATATATAATATCTGAAAGACGACGGATTCATATGTGTTCGCGAAATCAATCTCATACTAAAAATGACAATAAAAACGAGTCTATCGTGTAGATTATTCAAATTTTATTAAAGTGATAAGACAAAAAAAAAAAATATCACATAGATTAAAAACATCAACTAAATAAACTGTATACAAAACTCATTCGATTGACTTTAGTTTTTACCGGATAAATGAATCTAATTCTCTCTATTGACTCAATACTTTTTGGTCGTTTACAATAATAAAACTGATATACCATGATAAGACAATACTCTAATCTAATGGTTTGATCCAAAAAGCAAAAATAAACGACAAAAACAAATAAGAAACTAATATTTTTCGTCTGGACATCATGGTCAGATCCATACTACGCCTTGTTTCGATGAAATTACAAATCAAACATCTACCATTTAAATATTGAAATCGTGGAATTCAAAACTGACTCAAATGGAATGATAGAACTTTTCGGTTTTCACGAAAAGCAAAAAATGCACAGAGGTGACCAACACCAAACACTTCATAATTTCAAGACATAAATAGATGAGTGTAAACGGAAGAGGAGGAAGAAGGATCACGGAAGTCTTATGAAATATGACAAAATATATCTGTTCATATAAAACTGAATTATTTTACAATAGGGACAACTAGCTGTCTGATTGTGTTAAACACAAACTGCTAGAAAAGAGCACATCAAAGTTAGTAGATCTAGTTGGAGGGAAAATAAAAAGATTTTTGCTCGATTAATTTGAACGTGAGTAGCAAAACAAATTCGACACACGTCAATTTGAATGATACGAAAAAATAAAAGAATTGGCGAGAGTATGTGAAAGAGTCAAAGAAAAGAACAAATGTACAATGTTTATCTGTTGTTGTTGCGTCAATATGTCAACTTACCCATCTGACGACTCAAAGCTCACCACCCTTAACAATCGTTTTGGCTTTATCTACTGTTTCTTCTGTTTTATCGACAATAGTATCTTTCGTTTCTCGTACTTTATCAGCAATTTTTTCGCCTTGTGCACGTGCATCATCATAACCATCGCGAACTTTATCCTGAACATCGTCCGTTGCTTGTGATGCCATACCAACTACATCTATATGAGGCGAAAAATGAACGTTCTTCTAGTAGCATTATCAAGCCCAAATAACAGCTTACAGAAACTTAGACAGTCTTTTGATTCTGTGTCAGAGATCGGAAGAACAATCGTTTTCTCTGCTTATTAGATTTTGATTGAGAAATAATTGAGATCAGTCTGATTTGTGAACATCTGCAATTTACATAATATCTAGATGTTCAGATATTCTGATATTTAAATGTTAGATATTTAGATATTCAGACGTTAAGATCTTCGGTTCTTCTCACTAACTCTCATTATCCCGCCTCACCCTAAATATCTAACATTTGAATATCAGAATATCTGAACATCTAGATATTATGTAAATTGCAGATGTTCACAAATCAGACCCTACTGAAACAGTTTCAATTATTTCTTAATGTTGGATAATAAAGAGAAATTTTCTGATTATACTAAAACTGCTGCTAAAAAACGATTTCCGCTCTTAAACTAACAAAAACCACGTATTAACTATCTAACAGAATTCATGTGCTGATTCAGGAAGTCAAACAGAAAACTACTCTTCAAAAGACAGGACATACCAAGTATTGAATCTTTGACATCACTAACAACTTTCAATACTTTATCGATCAATGAATCACCTAATAAAAAGATAGAATATTTGATAGGTGGAGTGAAACAGAAACACTTTTAAGTAATATTACCTTGTTTTTCAGCTTCTTTTGTCGCGTCTTCAATTTTCGATTTAACCTTTTGACCAGCATCGCTAGCTTGACGTTTTAATTTATCCTAAAATTTCAAAAACTAATACAAATTAACAATGAGACAAATCGTTCGTAGTTTTGCTACATAAAAGCTGACAATAACGATGTACTAGCAATCATTGAAAAAAAAAATATCATGTAGTAAATGAAGAACGTACGCCTTCTTTTCCTGCTTCATTAATAACTTGTTTTCCTTCTTTAATTGTTTCCTGAGTTTTATCTTTGACGGTCTGTTGGCCAGTTTTAACGGCTTCATCGACTTTCCTAGAATATACAAAAATATTGTTAAGTATGAACGACCCCAAATACTGAACGGCGGACAAAATAAGCTGGCAGTTGAGTGAGTATCATCTCTTTGTGTAAACTCACGTTTTTCCAACTTTGATGGCATCGCTCGCTGAATCTGTTAAATCATTAAGTTTCTCTGTAGCTTGATCTTTCAAATTCTTTGCTCCGTTAATTGCTTCGTCAACTTTATCGCCAACAGTGGCTTTCAATTGTTCAGCAGTTTTTTGACCCTAAAACATCATAATTTAAGAAAACGATTATCCAGAAGTTAAATAAAAAACACATACGGTAGCTAATTTAGATGACCTAAACTATCATGAAATAAATAACTTACAGATTTTAGTGCGTCATTTGCTGTATCTTTAATATTTTCTTTCAAATCATTCACATTATCTAATTGATCTCCAAGTGTTTCTTTGACTGTTTCAGCAGCAGACTCAACACCCGATTTGACATTACCTAAAGTATTCAAAAATAATATACATTATTATCATTAATCGAATTAGTCTACTAGCAAAATATTCATTTTTTTAAAGAAAAACTGATATTACAGACATATCAACTATTTTCCACTCAAAAAGTAATTGTTTAAGAATAAATAACCTACTTGCACCCTCTTTGACGATATTAACCACCTTCTCTGTTAATTTTTCCCCCTTATTTAATGCGTCTTTTGTTTGTTGTTTAATATCATCAGTATTACAACTGACATATGTTATTAATAGGAAACCAAAAAAAATGAATGTAGAAAATGCTTTGAACATGACTGAGTTTGTTAATCAACAGATAAATGTATCTAGGTCTGAAAACAAAAAGTAAGATTATTTTCATAAGCGATGAATGCTCTTAGACTACGATACATGATCATTCGACCCTCTTTACTGCCATAGAAATGTAAATCGTCCAGCAATTAATCAAATTATACAAATACAAATGCAAAGACATTTATAAGGAAAAACTTTAAACTATTTTCAACTAGATAAAATTAAACAAACAGTTGCTTTTAAGCTCACATCACCTATGAGAAAATTTTAGTATATAATACGGCGTGTACATCCGTGCATATCGTGAAATAAACTGTGGTCGCACATGAACATCGTAAAATAGTGTGGACACGTGTGGAAAATATATTCCACTGGTGACAACGCGTGAACTGTTCACAGAAACATTTCGTGTCATAAAAACTTCAGTGCAATTGCGGCTGAAATACCCTTAACTTGGTTTTAAGTTAAGGGTGTTTCAGCCGCAATTACACTAAAGTTTTTATTTCTGTTGTTGCCCTCTAATAGTAACAATGTTATTGATTTTGCGTCATATTTTTCGTACATGGTCACTAGTAGAAGTCGTAAAATGGTGTGTGGCATTATAAAAAGTTCACAACGCTTTTAAGTGAAACGTTTTTGATGTTGCAACTGCATGACCCCACCCCCACCGTAGTGAAAACAAAATTTCGACAAAATTTCCCCATGGCCTGCACTTATCTAAAATACTGCTCGGACGAAACTAAAAGTTTAAATTAGAAATTTAAAGAAATTTTTGGTCACTATTATCTTACAGTTTGTCCATTCAACTTTCATCAACTTAAGAAAAAATGTAACATCTTGCGTTGTTATGCCACACAGGTTTTCTGTCAAATTAGAAAAACGCAGAGAAAATGGATGCAAATATAAAAGTAAAAATAATTTGGACTTTGACTACTGCACTGTATACTCTTATTCTCTTTGTATTCTATCTACATTCTCTTGTTTACTTAGTCTGTTCTGAAGTGATTAATTTTCTTAGAGAGAACTTTTTTCTTTATTTAATTCAAACTGGGTCATCAGATATGCATATACGAAACAAAAGAGAAAATTAGAGTTCAATGAGTCAAACTTCTTTACTTCACGTGGCATTGTCCAAGAACGTTGACTGGTTTGTCTATAAGAAGAGAAAGAATAAAACCTACAAACATTCTATGCAGTAACTCATACGCTTCCATTAACATGGAATAGTGTTATGGAGGTTTTGAATCGCACGTATCGAGTGGTTCATTTTCGCCATTTTTTTTCTCATGCTGTCTTTTCTTTTATGCATACTATTATACGTACAGATTATACACACGAAGTTCTCAATATGAGAAGATAAGAGGAACGGTATTTAAGAACGAATAACATCGTTGTTTAAACAAAGCAAGCGACTTAAAAATACAAAAAAATAATCACCTTCCGTTGAAAATCTGCATATCAACTCTTTTGGATTGTATTTCTGTCTAAACGTTTCACAGATTTCCTTTGACAATGACTGGCCAATTACCAATTAAATTTCAGGAGCATTTACAGGTAATTTTGACAATTAAAGCGTTATAATTTTTTCTAAACTATGTTCTATGGTTTTCAGCTTCAAAATGTAGGAATCAATGTTAGCAATATCGGTTTCAGCTCGTTAACAATGGAATCAGATAAATTTATTTGTGTACGAGAAAAAGTAAATGACACTGCGTCTGTAATCATAATTGATATGGCTGATCCACAAAATCCAATTAAACGTCCGATAACAGCCGATTCAGCCATTATGAATCCAGCTAGTAAAGTGATTGCTTTAAAGGGTAAAAGTTTAATAAAAATTTCTTGAAAACTTTTGATTGTAATAAGTTTACAACTTGATTCTTTTTAGCGGCCAAAACTTTACAAATCTTTAATATTGAATTACGTAGCCGTATGAAAACGTACAACATGGTAGAAGATTGTATTTTTTGGAAATGGGTATCCGTAAATACAATCGGTATTGTAACAGAAACGTCTGTGTATCATTGGACAATGGAAGGCGAAAGTCAACCGGTGAAAGTTTTTGATCGTCATCAAAGTTTGCAGGGCTGTCAAATAATTAATTATCGAACAGATGAAGCATTACAGTGGTTACTTGTTATCGGTAAGTATTAAAGATTGCTCTTTATAATCGTTAAAAAATAATTTTCATTTTTCTATAGGTATTCAAGCCCAAGATAGTCGAGTTGTTGGTCGGATGCAGTTGTATTCGGTAGAACGGAAAGTATCGCAACCAATTGAAGGTCATGCTGCTGCGTTTACTCAATTCAAATTAGAAAATAATAAAAAACCATCCACTTTATTTTCATTTGCTGTTCGCAGTCCAACTGGTGGAAAAGTAAAAGAAAAACTACTCTCCTAGCTGGTAGATCAAATCAACCTTGTTTTTCTTTATGTTTTTAGCTTCATATCATTGAAGTTGGTGCACCTGCGCCCGATAATCAACCATTTCAAAAGAAAGCAATCGATGTTCAATTTCCAGCCGAGGCACCAAATGATTTTCCTGTAGCAATGCAAACATCATCAAAACATGGTGTCATATTTCTTGTTACCAAATATGGATATGTACACGTATTCGATATTGAAAGTGGAACATTAATTTATATGAATCGTATTAGTGCTGATACAATGTTTGTTACCGCTCCTTATGAACCGACATCGGGAATTATTGCTGTTAATCGAAAAGGACAAGTAAGTATTATTTCTATTATATTGAAATTTCATATTGTGAACTATTGACAAGGTTTCATGACTGCTGTTGTTCAGATATTCGTGTTTGTTTCTCGTGGCGTGAATGATGTAACCAGAATACACCGGCTTCCATAGTCGATACAGTTCACCTCTCTTGTAGAACAGCTATTTTTTATTTGTTCAATGGATAGAATAAGAATCTAATAATTATGTGATAAATGCGTCGGCTGAGTGCAATGGAGGACTATCCCAGTGAATCATTACTGTAGCGTCTAATCAGTCATGATGTAACGAACGATTGCAGAGAATATACACTTTTTCAATGGCAGTTACTGATTCATAGACGGATCATGACCGAGCAGCAAAATACAAATTTAGATATTTCATTAGGAAGTTGTTCATTTGCTGAAGAAACTTTTCATCACTTTTGTTTTGATTATTTTCTTTGGTCATCCTTCTCTCGTATGTAGCTCCATCGTTAGTTTCATTTATGAATCGTTCTTTCTTCACATTATGTGATTGCCATAGTATCAGAATATCAAAATTCAAATTATTGAGTTACTCATTTTTATGGTGACAAGTTGTAGCTATTTAGTCAGTTTCGACAGTTAGCATTATATCACAGTTAACTCGCCTTTAACCCTCGACGTTGGTTTTACTATTATTGACCTTCAGGTTACTTTTGGTTGTTGTTGTTGTTAGTGGCAGTGTAGAAGGTGTTTTCAAAGTAATCTTATCACTCTGTTCCTTGTCTTTAACGTTTACATGTGCTGTTATTGTTGATGAATAGGACGTTGGATAACTTAAAAATACGTTTTTATATTGACATCTACTTCTTTCAATTTTATCGGATCCGAGAGATATTATTTTTCGACAATCTTCCTAGAGAACGTACTTGGTGTCAAGTACTTCGTCTGCGTAATGAAGCCGGTACTTGCCTTTTTTCAAGAAGTAAATTTACTTGTAAGTACTTGTCCTTACTTGCCAAGTACTTCCAGAAAGTACTTCTTAGCAATAAGGCAAATATTTCGATTATTGTCAAGTACTTAGCAAGTAATCAAGTACTTACATCAAGTACTATAGGGTACTACTAGGGCTATAACATACCTCTCAGAAAATTTCATTTTGAAATATAAAAAACAATTCTACATTTTTTTTCTTGAAAAAATTTTCGCGTATGGCCATTACACGCATATGGGGATTCTGCATCTCTGAATACTCTAATGTCAATTATATATCTAATTTATAAATAAAGAAAAAGTTGATTTAGTGTGTTTGCATCAACGAAGCATATCAGCAGACCGTTACTTTTATTTTATAGGTGTTGTCTGTTAGTATTGACGAAGAAAATTTAGTATCATATATTCAAAATTCATTGAGCAATCAGGAATTAGCCTACAAATTAGCCGTTCGTTGTAATTTACCAGGTGCCGATCAGTTATTTGTTGCAAGGTTTGCTCATTTATTTCAAACTGGAAATTATGGTGAAGCCGCCAAAGTAGCAGCAACTGCACCACGAGTATGCTACTATAATTTTATTGCGATAAAGATAGTGAACCTTGATGCTTCCTTTTATTTAGGGTATATTACGTACACAACAAACAATTCAACAATTTCAGACTGTACCACCTCAACCAAATCAACCATCACCGTTACTACAATATTTTAGTATATTGTTAGAAAGTAGTAAATTAAATCGCGAAGAATCAATCGAATTATGTAAACCAGTTGTTATGCAAGGGAAAAAACCTTTACTTGAAAAATGGCTGAAAGAAGATAAAGTAAATATTTTTCTTCTATTTCTATTCCTACGTTTTGAAACCAATCTGTTTATGTTTTCTAGCTTGAATGTAGCGAACAGCTTGGTGATTTAGTAAAAACAATTGATCCAACATTGGCTTTATCTGTCTATTTACGTGCAAATGTGCCATTAAAAGTGATTCAATGTTTTGCTGAAACCGGACAATATCAAAAAATTATATTATACGCGAAAAAAGTCAATTTTCAAGCAGATTATATCTTTTTATTACGAAGTATAATGAGAATTAATCCTGAACAAGGTGTACAATTTGCACAGGTTTGTAAACTATTTTAACATTGTGTGGATAGAATAACAATAAAAATGATTAGATAAAGGCTTGCAGATTTTTTATGATATTGATTGTGTAGTAGTGGTTCGGATCACTTGAAAAAATTAATACGCTTTTTACGACGAAAAATGCAAATAAGTTCACAAGTCTAGTCTCACACTGACTTTTAGAAGTAGGTAAGTGATTTTCATCTAAAATAATTTCTATTCTATTTAGCGTAATTTTCCATCTACATATAAAGTTTTTGTAGACTGTTTAAAACGTTTGCTTAGTAAACAAGAGTTTTATTCTCTGATTTAGATGCTTGTACAAGACGATGAACCGTTGGCCGATTTGACACAAGTGGTTGATGCATTTCTAGAACAAAATCTTATCCAACAGTGCACAGCCTTTTTATTAGATGCGTTAAAAAATAATCGTGAAGATCAAGGACATTTACAGACACGTTTACTTGAAATGAATTTGATGCAAGCACCACAAGTATGAATAAAGATCCTGTCAAACTAAGTGTATTGTTTTCATTTTATATCTGTTTTAGGTGGCTGATGCTATTCTTGGTAATAATATGTTTACACATTATGATCGACCACATATTGCACAGTTATGTGAAAAAGCTGGATTATTACAACGTGCACTTGAACATTACACAGATTTATACGATATTAAACGTGCGGTTGTTCATACACATTTATTAAATCCAGATGTATGTTTCAGTTTTCTAATGTATATATCCTGTAAAACAAAGTTTTATTTCTTTTTAGTGGCTTGTCAACTATTTTGGTCGTTTATCTGTTGACGATTGTATCGAATGTTTAAAAGCAATGTTACAAGCTAATATAAGACAAAATTTACAAGTTGTCGTACAAATAGCTACAAAATATCACGAACAATTGGGTACACAAAAATTGATTGAATTATTTGAGTCATTCAAAAGTTATGAAGGTAAATATTGCGTTTGATTTTTGCTAAATAAGATTTACAGATTAAACCATCTTGGCTTGACAAGAAAACTCGATCGCGTTTGAGATCGTAATGGATAATCAAAAAAACAAAAAAAGTCGAGCAATACAATATTCTACTTTTATTCTAAATAATTCAGAGAAGGCAAATAATGGTGTAGTTGACTAAGGCGGTGGTAACACGATTTAAAGTGCTATGGTTCGATTCTCATCTGAGATGTAAACTTGATTTCAACTCTATGATGAAAACAAAATGTGTTCATATCGTATGAGATGATGATACTTCGCATCTCCAGTGTAGTTCTGACGAGTTGTTGGTTTACACAGATGTTGTATAGTTCCATTTGTCATTTATCAAATGTTTATACTTACAGATTAATTATGTATGTTTAAGAAAATAGTAATATAACTAGCTATTCTCAGTATGCATGTTGATACTCCCATTATACAGTTTTACTTTGTAGTTCTAGCGTCTATGATGATAATTCCTATACATTCGCAAATACTTCTGAATTGAAATATGAGGTCAACTAAGGCCTTTCTGAGACGCTATAGAATTATTATCACCAGTAACATCATCAAAATGTAGGATAAGTAACGAATGTTCGACATATCTCTTTTTAATCTAATTCCAAGTGATTAAAATACTTCTCTTATTAAATTCGAAAAATTCTCGCTAATGTCGACCATTGAATGAACAAACCGTTGAAAATAAGATTTCAAATGAACAATAAGGACGTTTTCAGTGTTTGTATACTTTTAGTGATTGCTTCCAATTGTATAGGAGCTTCCGCTTATAAATGCTTGATAGAGCAGCGTAGCTAAGTCGGCTAGTGGGCAGACAATGTACTTCAAAGATACGGAGTTCGAATCCCGGTAACGGCGGTCGCATCATAGATTATCTAATGCTCATTGTCTTAGTACCTTTTGATACAGATGCAATGGGGGAATCCGATTCCAGTGGAGGACATGAAAATTAAAGTGTATAAAAAAAGCCTGGTATCGCTCGTTTCACACCTATTGTGAAACGACGAATGCCCAGGCTAGATGGAATTCTTGAAGAACAAAGCTCATCTATTCATGTGTTTAAGATGATCCTGAGGCTTCGAACAAATAATATGTTAACTATCAATGGAAGAGACCCTTCTCGTTGTCAATGTGAATAAAATTCACGAAGTTTGTTTTTTTAGGTTTATTCTATTTTCTTGGTTCAATCGTTAACTTTAGTCAAGACCAAGAAGTTCATTTTAAATATATTCAAGCAGCATGTAAAACGGGACAAATTAAAGAAGTTGAACGCATTTGTCGTGAAAGTAATTGTTATGATCCAGAACGTGTTAAAAATTTCCTTAAAGAAGCAAAATTAACAGATCAATTACCATTGATTATTGTTTGTGATCGTTTTAATTTTGTCCATGATCTTGTACTCTATTTATATCGAAATAATTTAATGAAAAATATTGAAATCTATGTACAAAGGGTAAAAACATTTAATATCTTTGTAACTATATTTTTAGAATATTCATTTTATTTAGGTTAACTCTGGACGATTGCCCGTGGTTGTTGGTGGACTTTTGGATGTTGACTGCAGTGAAGATAACATTAAACAATTGATATTGTCTGTTCGTGGAAATTTCAACGTTGATGAATTAGTTGAAGAAGTTGAGAAACGTAATAGGTACTAGTTGTTAAAAAAAATCGTATAAGAAAAATTCGATTTGTTTTAATTCTCTCTAATTTTAGAATGAAATTATTATTGCCATGGTTAGAAACACGAATACGTGATGGTTCAAATGATCCCGGTGTTCACAATGCCATTGCTAAAATATACATCGATTCAAACAGCAATCCAGAAAAGTTTTTACGTGAAAATCAATATTATGATAGTCGTGTTGTAGGAAAATATTGTGAAAAAAGAGATCCACATTTGGCATGTGTTGCATATGAACGCGGTGGTTGTGATTTAGAATTAATCAATGTAAGTAACAACTATTATTAATAGATGATATTCGGATAAGTATTGAATTAATAAATAAACATCTCACATTGTGTGTTTTGGTAGCTGAACGAATTTAGTCCCTTGATAAATGTTTTTTTTCCTTACTGTTACAAGAAGTAACGTTTATTTTTTCCATATTGGAGAGTAAAATAAGAGATTTCGATAGTAACTACACTATTTGGATGTGACAGAATGGAACTATTTTGTACTACTAGCATGATCAATCTAATAGTATGACACTAAATATCTTCAATAGTATAATGACTAAATATCTTCAAATCATATCTAGCGAAACATCACGAAGAACGAATTAGTTTACTCAGCATACATATATTCATGTTTCGTAGAAACCGCAAAAAACTTTTATACTTAAAATAAAAGTGTAAAATACACGATCATTCATAACAAAATCATTTTGTTGGTAAATCTAATTTTATAATTTAAAACTTAGGTTTCAAAACCATACTCGTTAGACTTGTGCTTTTCCTTTATGTAACAACAGAAAGTAATCGTCACAAGGCGATAAATCGATTAAAAAAGCAGCACTTTTTAAATCGAAACCAAAAATTAAAGCGTGTTAACTGTTATAAACAGGTTCTGTTCATAATAGAATTGCACGGCCAAAAGCTGATTCCCAGTGGTGTTGATCGTAGGAGAATTTATACAGTAAAAGTAATAGTCAACCGGAAAGTGCAAGAAGAGTGTATAAATAAGAGTATCCTGGATCAGTATAATGTATTAGTGGGAAGATAGATTCTAGGAACATTAAACATCGAACATGAAGAAGAAATCTTGGGATATCATTTGAAAAACCTAAGCAAATGTCTAGAAAAAGATGTCTTTTTGATTAATTTCCGTATAACTCGATAATGATGACTCTGTAATCGGTCAAAAGAGAGTATTCCAGATAAGTCTGTGAGATGTACCGAGTATAGTTGTCTGTTATTTACGATACGACCCTTAGCCTTTGCAGAAAACAAGCGTCACGTAAAAGAATGAAAGAAAAGAAAGCATGATGAAAGTATCATAGCTATATGAAGGAGAATTTCAAGAAGGCTCTTCACCGTTGCACTCTGTCACCTTAAAAATAGGAAGCTGTGAAGATTTGTTTCGATCTTTCATAGTGTCGATAGATTATCCTATAGAAATGGTTCAACTATGCTAATAGACCTGATGTTATTAATGTCATAGTTGCAGAGAAAAATGCAAAAAACTTTTTACAAATCATTCATAAATGAGCTTGCAATCGAATAATTTGTTATTTTGTTTAGGTTTGTAATGAAAATTCATTATTTAAAAGTGAAGCTCGTTATTTGGTTCGTCGTAAAGATCCTAACTTATGGGAACAAGTATTGGGTGAAGATAATCAATATCGTCGATCTCTAATTGATCAAGTTATTCAAACCGCTCTAGCCGAAACACAAGATCCCGAAGAAATATCAGTTACTGTTAAAGCCTTTATGACGGCTTCTTTACCAAATAATTTGATTGAATTATTAGAAAAAATTGTCATTGATAATTCGGTATTTAGTGAACATCGAAATTTACAAAATTTGCTTATATTAACAGCAATTAAAGCTGATCGTTCACGTGTAATGGATTATATAAATCGTTTGGATAATTATGATGCACCGGATATAGCAAATATTGCTATTAGTAATCAATTGTATGAAGAAGCATTTTCAATCTACAAAAAATTTGAAGTAAATACATCAGCTATTCAAGTTTTAATCGATAATATTAATAATTTGGATCGAGCATACGAATTTGCTGAACGATGTGATGAACCGGGTGTATGGAGTTTATTGGCCAATGCGCAAATAAGAAATGGTCTTGTCAAAGAAGCTATTGATTCATTTATTAAAGCTGATGATCCAGCATCATATTTAGAAGTTGTCAATGTTGCAAGTCAAAATAGTAAGAAAAATAATCTTTCTTGATATTGAAACGTGAATTGTATGTTATTTATTTGTACAGATAGTTGGGAAGATTTAGTTCGATATTTACAAATGGCACGTAAAAAAGCTCGTGAAACATTTGTCGAAACAGAATTAGCCTTTGCATATGCAAAAACAAATCGACTTGCTGAATTAGAAGAATTTATATCTGGACCAAATCATGCACAAATACAAAATGTAAGTCTTGTTTCACTGAAAAGAGGCGTAGATAAAATACTGAATGATGATATTAACTTATTGATAATAATGTTTGAAACTGATAGACACCTGGTACTATTATTATAGATATTGGATATAATTTCTATGATTTGAGTTGATTTTACAGGCCATTATGGTGTTGTAAAGGAACCGACGTTTTAATTTGTGTGTAAATGATGAGAAAAATCAGCTATTTATTTGATAGCTTGCTGATAATTGTGATTAGAAATTTGATAGGGGCTCTGCTCTGATACACCGAGAGAAATGTTATAATGATGAAAAAGAATTTGACTTTGATAAACAAAATGAATCAGTTTTTTTATTAGAAACACTAATCAATTTTAGGTTGGTGATCGTTGTTTCGAAAATGGCATGTATGATGCAGCAAAATTATTGTTTAGCAATATATCAAATTATGCTAAATTAGCTGTTACATTATGTTATTTGGGTGATTATCAAGGAGCTGTTGATAGTGCAAGAAAAGCTAATTCAACAAAAACATGGAAAGAAGTAAGTGTTTCTCATTGAGTTATATTTTTGTTAAAATTTATTTCGTATATTCTTTAAATAGATTTGTTTTGCTTGCATTGATAAACAAGAATTTCGTTTGGCACAAATGTGTGGTGTTCAAATAGTTGTACAAGCTGAAGAATTAGAAGAACTTATCAATTATTATCAAAATCGTGGCTATTTTGACGAATTAATTCAGTTATTAGAAGCAGCGCTTGGTAAATTAGTTTTTATTTATTTTTTACTTCATCAACTCATTTAATTATTTCTGTAGGTCATGAACGTGCTCATATTGGAATGTTCACTGAATTAGCTATATTATATTCAAAATATAAACCACAAAAAATGCGTGAACATCTTGAATTGTTTTGGTCTCGTGTTAGAAAACCAAAAGTAAGTGTTTCTAGTTGATGAATAAATAATTGAACCTTCTACAATGTTTTGTTGTTTTCTATCGTTTCAAGGTACTTCGTGCGTGTGAACAAGCACATTTATGGTCCGAATTGGTATTTTTGTATGATAAATATGAAGAATTTGATAATGCTATATTAACAATGATGTCTCATCCAACAGAAGCCTGGCGTGAAAATCATTTTAAAGATATTATTGCCAAAGTAGCCAATATTGAATTATATTATAAAGCAATTGATTTCTATCTTGAATTTAAACCAATGTTATTAAATGATTTATTATTAATACTATCAGCTCGTCTAGATCATACACGAACCGTTAATTATTTTATGAAAGGTTAGTTAATTTATTCAACTAAAGAGTCAACATCTAAATCTGTCAAATTCAACAAGTTTAATTCCGTATAATGGTATCACCGATATCATTGTGCATTCATACAGATATCGTTTGTTGTTCACATGCGATAGTGACGAGTTTTGTCCTAAGCAACTTGGATGATTGTTAAAACAATTTCTGTGATCTTGATTTGTGACAGATATAGACATCTCGTACCTTTTATTGTGTCAGATCTCTTCAATAGGATTAGTATCGATATCATCAGTTTTTTTTCGTTTTTTTTCCAGTCAAACAATTGCCATTAGTTAAACCCTATTTACGATCGGTACAAAACATCAATAATAAAGCAATTAATGAAGCATTGAATAATTTATTAATTGAAGAAGAAGATTATCAAGGTTTGAGAAGTTCAATTGATGCTTATGATAATTTTGATAATATATCATTGGCTCAACGTTTGGAAAAACATGAATTGATTGAATTTCGCCGTGCTGGAGCATATTTATACAAAGGAAATAATCGTTGGAAACAAGCTGTTGAATTAACGAAAAAAGATCGCTTGTACAAAGTAAGTTTTGTGTATTTCTATCAATTGAGAATCTTTCAGTTAAAAAATATCTTTCCTTCTGTGTCGTTCTACGTCTCTGCTATGAGCATTTATTCTATTATTTTTGGTTTTATATTTTAGGATTCAATGACATATGCTGCTGAATCTCGACAAGTTGATATAGCTGAAGAATTAATATCATGGTTTCTAGATGAAAATTTATTTGAATGTTTTGGAGCATGTTTATTTCAATGCTACGATTTATTACGTCCTGATGTTATTTTAGAATTAGCATGGCGACACGATATTATGAATTTTGCCATGCCCTATATGATTCAAGTGATGCGAGAATATATTTCAAAGGTAAATTGGTTTACTAAGTTTTATACAAACACTACTTCTACATTTCTATTTTTTAGGTCGATAAACTCGAACAGTCAGATCAAGTCCGAACAGAAACAGAAACGGAAAAACCTTTTGTAATCGGTAAGCAAAAAAGTTTTTCGTCAAAGTATTTTATACGTACGTATGCCATCAAGAATCGGATACGAGTGCAGATCTTCTTGTCAATGGCTAGAATCTACGATAGGGTTTAAGCAATGTCTTGCAACGAAAAAATCACGCCATCATCTTATTACAAAAGTTTTGAAGAAATAATTCTCGAAGAAAGTTTAGTGAATGTTGTATATGCATGGAGAAGGGAAGATCGTTCTGTGCTTCCTCCTTCCGTGAGAACAGCTTGAAATATGTTTGGATTTGTTGAATATCGCAAGGTATATCTATTTAAACAATGATTCTACATTGGTAGAATATAAAAATTAAATTAAGGTAACTGTAGCAGTCAACTAGGGCATATGCAGTCATTGAATTTGCAATTAATGCATTCATTTCAATAAATTCAGACATATTTCAAGCATTTCTCACAAGGAAATGCTTCGACAAATCTATCTTTATGCGAGCAAAGACTAATTACTTATTGTTTATCTTTTATTTCTAGAGAATCTACCATTGATGTTAACAGCACCTGGTATGAATTATTCTGCAGCTCAGGGCTTTTCACCCTTTGGAGCACCCGTACATGGTTATCCAACGTACAATTAGAATGGAAGAGAATACCATCTCTTCAGGATTAATATATATTTGCTTTGTTTCTGTTTTTCGATGTCAGCTGTATGCAATTTTTTCGTGCATTCTTCTTATTTTATCGTTCTTCATCAGTGATTTTTGATGTTTAGATACGTTTCGTTTTCTTAATACTGAATGATGATGTGTAGTACAAACAACATTTTTCCGCCAGTTTCATCAACATCAAAGAGAATTTTTTCTATCAAAGCTTAACATATTTCTAGATTCACCAAATTGAATTTCCTAATTCCTCAATCGAAGACATCCTAGTTCACTATTACAGTTGCATCAGGCTTAATTTTTTGTATCATATTCAGTATAAAATCAATATTCAAGTACATATAATTTTTTGATACAAAGACTAAACTTGATGTACCATTTTTCTCCGTCAATTAGGACACCTACGATTTATCGAAATTTGTAATTTATGTATTCGATTCAACAAATGTCAGCATATATCAAGCATCGTTTCGAAGGAAACGAGAGTCACAGAGGATTATTTCTTGGTTAGTTGTACGTAAAAATTGATCCGATCTCGTTTGAATTGAAACTTGGCAATGAAAAATGAAACAATTTCATCTTTTTTGAGAATTCTTATTCACTTATCATATTTTTTAAATAAATGTACATGTATTGTGTGTGAGTGTTTGTGTATGATATATTCGCATTCCTATATTCTCTAAATTGTTTGCAATTTTTTTTTTTATAATGTATCACTTCTGTTCTAGGTAAAGTACTCTTCTCTCTTTATTTTGGTTCACATAAACGAACAACAATAATTCCCTAATAAGATGATATTTCATTTTAACATTTTTTATTGTTGCATTGTAACCCGTGATTGTTTGTCAACTTTCCTTTTATAGAGTTTTCTTTGTAGACTATGTTTCTTTTCATGAAATATTATTATCCCAGTTTGTTTATTTTTATTTTTATTATTATTCTCACTATTATTGTTGTTCTTCTTCTTCTTTTTGCCGGTTTTCTTCATTATATATATAATGAGGAAAAAATATTAAATTACGGTTTATACGATATACGCCAGATAAAAAAAAATAATAATTCAAATAAAAATGTAATGAGTCTTCTAATCTTCTGGAATTATCAATTTTTGGTGATTTCTTTGCAAAACTGTAATAGGTCTCTTTAATAATGCGTATGTCACTATGAAAACGAAAAATTACATATCTTTACTGCAATTTAGGATAATTCTATGTTCTTTCTTAGGAATTTAGGATTTCTTGATCAAGAGAATGTATACGAACTAATGTTGTTGTTTTCAGAAGTTTCGTATAAGAAATATATATGTAATGTTAGAATAATACATCTATATTCGTTTTTTTTTATTTTAATTGTCTGTGACATGTCCATTTTAAAAAATGACTACTAGACAAATGCTTGTTTAAAGGGCCTAGATTTTACGCATTTTTAGAACTTTTTTTTTTTTTTTTTGAAAATATCATCTGTTTGTGTTTTATATGTAATTTTTCCTTGTATGTTTGATTTGATATGATTTATTTTATTTTTTAACCATAACAGACTATTTCTCATGCTAATGGGAATAATATATAATTCAGAAATCTACTATAGTTCTCTTGAATGATCTCACTCTACCTATGTATCTCATAAATAAATTATTATTTTATGCGATTCTTATACTTAATTTTTCGTTATAGTTAATTGTTTTAGACACGAAAAGAAAAGAGAAAACAAATGTGAATTTCTATTGACTAATCGAACTTTGAATCGAGAGAGTCAATTTTCATTTATTTTATTTTCAAAATGATTCTTATTCAAAACGAAATATTTTCTGACTGATGAGGGAAAGAAAGAGTGACATGTATAGGTATGAGTTTACAAAGATTGCGTTTGTAGACTAAATTTGTTACCATTTAAAATAATATGATAGAGACATGGGTTTTCTTTTGGCATCATCTCATATGAACAAGTTAAAGCACATTGGAATCAACGTTCTCTTCTATTCATCTGCCAATTTTTAGTTTTAAAACAAACATTTTATCTTACAATAGAGGCACAAGTTTAGAAGTTGATCGTTCAACTCGTTCTCTCAAAAATATTATGAAATTTTAACCAGTATGTGCTGCCATCGCTCCCTTTTCTCATTTCATTTAAATCGATGAATATACTGAAAGGTCTATACTCGTGTCGATGAATGATAAATAGCAATAGAAAAACATAATAGATTACGCAACAACTTGAATATTATTTTGTTCATTTCAATTATTTTCAACATTAGATGATAAAAAATATTTTGAATTTATTTTTCAGACTAAAACTTTTTTGTACATATGCGTATAAAATGGCATTCCAACAAGAATATTTCAATATACCACCAATTACCAGAGCATATACTACCACGTGTGTTATTACAACAGTAGCCGTTGTAAGTAAGAAAATATAATTTTCCTATTAAGCAATCTGCCAGTTAATTTATGTCTTTTTTTTTTTTGAAAAACTATCTGCTCAATTGATCTTGTATAATTTTTTTGTCGATGTAATCAGATAAAAAGGATAAAAAAAAAAAAATCATTGGTATGGATATTATATATATTCATAGTCGGTGAAAATAGAAGAGAGAAAGTGAACATACTCGATTAGTTCAATTCTATAATTAGAGATTTTATTTTACTTCACACACTTACACACATGATGGAAAATAGCGAAAAGAAACCTTATAGTCAACTAAGTAGAATAAGCTATTCTGCAACATTGAACACAATTAAAACAACTGTCAATAATAAGAGAAAATAGGATTTGCTGGGAGATTCATCATCACTTTCCTTAATAATCGAGTTGTTTTTTACTAAAGTGATTCTTCAATAAAATAAAAAAAAAAGAAGAAAATATCTCTCTATATATATTAAACATTCATTTTTTCTCTCTCCATGTGGCAGATGTTTTTTTCGTAGTACTAGTTAAAAATATTTCGTAAGGTTGCCTTAAGCTATCACAGACTGTTTTTAAGAGGTAAACATTCAGATGAAGAGAGTAAGAGAAAACAAAAGAACACTTGAATAACAAATTTTCTATTACTCATCTTTTTGAACGAATACGTACGTGTGCCAGTCATTAATATGACCATTTTTGTTTTATGAGAAATAAAAGTACTAGAAAACCCATTAAGATTAGTGAAAAATTATTAAAATTCAATTGAGAAGTGTTAAACCGTTCATTTACGCATATATTTGGCAGATTTCAATGATTTATAACGAGATTCAAATGAGCGCATCTCTTCTTCTTCGTTAGAGATATACAGAGTAACTGTTTATTCAGCTCTGACTCTAGCATTCCTCCTATTCTCAGTCTGATAACTTTTTCCCTATCAAATTGATTGAAAACGTTCATCGGTGCTACTATTCGTTTTTTTTTGCGTTTATCATGTTCTATTTTACTTAATTGTTGTGAGACATGTTTAATTTTCAAAATTCAATCGACAATTTGATTCGGTACTCCTCAAATTTCAACTAGGTGTATATGATAAACAAATATTAATAAAACGTGTTTGACACTTGTGCTATATGAAATAATAATAATAATAATAATTATTATAATAAATAACAGTTCGATTTTTCATATTGGCAGATGTGTAAGTGTAAATAAAAAAGCTATAGATTTAAAAACAGGAAATATAATGTGGGTGTTAAAGCGTGCAAGAGTATGGTTCATTTTTTTTTCTTCTTTTCATTCTAACATATACACATGCTATCAGTCAATATTACGTCTGTTTTCGTAGTTCATAAAAAATCAGTAAAACGGAAGATGATCAAGGAAAAAATAGCGGAATTGATAAATCGAAACTAAATGGGGTGGTACAGATTAAGTAGATGAACAAATGAAAAAAAAATAAAGTGGTTGTCTCTAACGTGTTGATAAGGTATATATTATAGAAAAGAAATCACAATATGCAATGAAACGTAAATTATCTGTCATGTGGCTAATCAATCTTCCTACTGTGTGAAATGGATAATAGGTATAATTACATAAAAGTAAATGTGATATGTTTTTTTTAAATCGAAAAATAACAGACATTTCGCTGTTTTCTAAATATCGACAGATCAAAAAAAAAAAAAATGACGGATTGTATTATTCTACGATGATCAACAGAGATGTTGTGATCTTCAGAGTTTTAAGTGAAAATCAATTGATTTTAAAACCATTGACAGATAGTATAAAAATCTTTACTAGAAAAAGTACAAACTTTTGAATTATTTGATGGTAGATCATT